CTCAATATTAATTATGTAACAACTTTACTTTATTAATAAAGATCGTGAGAAATGCCTCACTTAACAGTAAAAAAAAATTTTTATCTTGATTATCTTGTTTTCACTTGATTTCTTATTAATTGTAAAAGTTTTCAAATTATTTTGTTTATTTGAATTGTTGAAAAAATTTATTTGAAATACCTAAACTATTTTGTTTTTATTTATTGTATTATATTGTAGAAAGATAAAAGAATAATATAGTGGTACGAGTAATATTGCAATCCAATTATGCCATATAATCAAAATATTATTAAATTTTAATTTAATAAGATACAATGCCATCTTAAAATATTTATAATAGTCGATTATTATATTTTATAAATAAAAATATAAAGTTTTGTAATTATCGTCACGTGAGTATCCAACCTCCTTGCTTAACTAATTCGGTGTTCTAAAATGAATTATCGGGTAAAATGAATTAAAGAGTACTTACAAGTAAATCGAAATAAAGTTCATATTTGAAATTTCAGATAGGATTTTTAATATATAATTATTTATTTGGTGTATAATATAAAATTCAATTGAAGAATCAAATATTAACAATAGAATAAATAATTTTTTTTTGGATATATAAATTATTTTCAAATAAAAAAAGGTTTAAACATCCGAACTATCTTTTTTCTTTTTGATTTTTACTTTAAATCCAATACATCTGCTAAATAATATTTTGGTGGTGTTTAAGGGATCTTCCTTATTGACAAACTCAAGATCATATTTTCTGTAAAACATGACTATTGTAGCTTTTAATATGAGGCTAGCTAAAATTCTTCCTGGACCTTAATTGATTAAATATTTTAGTATAACTTTCTTTATCATGTGCATTAAAATGTTCTAAAAACTTACATTTTCTCACTCCAGCTCCAAATACATAAATTTGATTTTTATAGTCTGGGTGAGTTTCGTCCATGAATCTATCGGGGTTGAATAAACCCGGATCGTTCCATTTAGATTTGCTTTTATGAAATGCTTGGAGATTTAAATAAAAGTCCGTGTTTTCCGGAAACATATATCCACCAATCTGATCAGGTTTTTCATTTCTCTTAGCAAAATATTGAGAAAAAGGCGATGTTCTAAAAGCTTCAATGAATAATTATCTAATTAGAATAATAATACAATCATTTGATATTTGTATAGATATAACCTGGGTAATATTTACCTTCTTTTAGAACGGCATCGCAGTAAGATAGTTTATTTATGCCTTCGTAAGTTATTTGCGAATCTGGATCTTCACCAAAGACGTCGTTAAATTCTTTTACCAATCGTTGCTTTACTTTAGGATGTTTGGATATCATATGAAATATATGACACATTGCATCCGAAGTCTAGATTATAATTAAAATATTAGAAACTTAAAATTAACTTGAGATGCCATTTACGCATAAATTGCATGTGCAGTGAGTTAGCATATATAATAAGTAATAATCCTTACCGAAATAAGTGCAGCCACAAAAATTTCCATAAAAACTGGAGCAATCTCTTCGTCAGACATTGGCCGGTCGTTTATATCATCCGCAATGCCCTTTGTGATATCTCGAGTTGTATTGACAGTTAAAAACATAGTCAAAAGATCTCGGGTCAATGGTGCGTCTTCAGGTGTTCCTTCAATCTCCTCTCTTCGAGTTTTAACAATATTAATAGTGTTAGTCCTTAGCAAGTTAACTTGCTCCTTTAATTTTTTTGTAAACAAGTTAATTCCGGGTAAATCTCTAAGAAATTTTGGGATACTACGAAACCATAGTATTGCGGTCATAAATCTAAGAGTAGATTTCGAAAGGCGTTCACTTTCTTCCAATATGCTATCAGAAACTTCTATGCTATCTGGTGATATTTTTTTATGATAACAAGCCAATGCATTAGGAGATTTACTTGTGGTAATAAGACCGACCGTATCTCTAACATAACTTTGCACCCACTCAGCAAAATCATGTACATCATCTTCACCAAGCGTTTTCCAATAGTTTTCCATCTTTTGGAATGAATTTTGTGTATTAATTAATGCTTGTTTTAAGAAAGGCGGTGAAAAAATGGCTTTCGAATAAAATTTTCGAATGTATGACCAACTTTCATAATCTATATTAAATGATAATCCCGTATTAACTAATCCGATTTCTCGAAGGTCGGAGTTTTGATTAACTCGATTATGAAAGTTATTACGAATAACGGGACTAAGAATTTTTTCTGCTAATTCTTCATTACATAACCAGACTTTACGCGAGGAGCCTACATAAACCTCGAAAATATCACCGTATTTAGATTGTAACTCGGAAGGCCAGATAGCAATATTACGAAGCATAATAAAAAGATTTCCAATAAACGGTAGGGGAAGCGGACCCGGCAGAGGACTCTCTCGGGTAAAATATTTATAATAATAATACGAAACATAAGATACTATAAAGGTAATTACAATATATAGAATATTAGCACTCGTAAAAGAAATCATTTTGAAATCATAAATGTCGATAAGGTAAAAATTTTAAAGAATACTGTAGTCGGAGTATTTATACACATCAATACTGTAGTAACACTGTGGAACTATTTACGTCACACTAGCTACGGTAATGTAAAGTTCGACAAATACTGTACATGCAGTGCTGTATTACTTTACAAAGACTACAAAGATGAATTTAAAAAGCAAAAAAAAAAAAAAAAATCTTGATCATAATGTGAGCATCAAAAAGTAATTGAAAGACAGTTTACAATAAAATTATAGAAATTTTTGCCAAATATTTCTTTTTGATGGTGGATGATGTTACCAACATTCGGATATGGTTCATCTGCGTTGACAGAATCTCGCAGAATTCTGAATAAGGAGCCAAAAGTATAATTTGTTATGTCAACTCTCAATAAACCGAAAGTCTCAAATTTTCTAATTAGCTATTGTTACGGGGAAATGACGATCGATAATATGACTTAAAATTTGAGCAACGTCGATCGCGCATTATAGAGGTTGCCTAAAAGGGCAATCGACCCTCGATCGGTTATTTTTTTTATTCTTTTATTTTCTTTTGCCATCCTAAAGTATAAAAACGATGTAATGAAATGTGTAGAGAAAAAAAGGTGGTAAAAAAGAGATATTAAAAAAGTGTTCACCGAATAAAATCACCATACTTATCGCACTGTTCCTGATCAATAAAACTCTCCCAAATAATCTAAACTCGCCAAATCCACGCCTTCTTTCTGCCTATCATTCCCCTGTTAAAACCGTAACCCTTGTATCAAGTGTCGCAATGTCAAGGATTGCGCCGTGACTGTTTTTAGACCCAGACCCGCGACACTATGTCGATAAATAACTTTAAAATAATAAGACAGTAATATTGATTGTTTATCAGGGATAATTAATTTCACGAGTTCCGGCAAAATTTTTGATAACAGGTTTCCCACGATGAATCTGTCGTCAACACACCAAAAGTTTCGTGTAACGAATGCAAGAAACGCCGTAAACTAGATGTATTACTTAGGCTAATTAGGTGTGTTTATCCGTTGCTTACAAACTTGCACCCTTGGACCAATGCTTCGAACCCTTCTTTAGCTAGAACTTTTCCAATACTTCTAGACAAACCTTGGTTCTAGCTTCTGCAAGCGCGCACAACAGCTACATAGTGTTACAGGGTTTTCAGCGAGTCTGTCACCAACACACAGAGATTCTCGCTTTATACTTGAGTCAGATGTCGGCTTGGAAGGTAAGTTTTAAAGAAGGCTTAACTCTTGAAGTGTGTATCGACTTAAACCGGTACTTCTATCGTTTGGTAACTACTTATCCTTTAGAGATTTAACTTAAACGCTATAGTCTCTAGAATTTCACCAAACTTTTTAGTCAACTCTGATTCGCATAGTCACGTGATAAAGTAAATAGAAACACAGGGTAAGGGTTTACGATTTTTATAAGCTAAACCGATTATTTATTATGCTACCTAAATGCCAGTTGAATAGTAATTTGCATTGGTTTCGTTCTACAATCATATTTATACATGCTAGGCCTGTTTACATATGTCATCTTACTCCGTATTTCCATACAGTTCTCTACGCGTAAACACTAATTACATGACGCCACATCGCGTCGTGTTATGGCACCAGAATTGTTTCTCTCAACAACAATAATAAAGTTATACTTTGAACTTTATTTATTTGAACGTAATTCTAGTACAGCATTGACCTTCCTTCCTCTTTCCGTGTTCTTATTTATACATACCATCATTTGCTTACGAGCTAGATCTTGTTAAATATTAGTTTATCACGCCGAATGTTTACATGTGTCATTCTAATTTAATTTTCCCATTGTTGCTCCGTAGAATCATTGATTTCGTGATGTGATGACGCGTCACGTTATTTAAAATTGTCGTTACCCACAAAAATACTAGTTTGGAGAAAGTTACTTTTTTAAATCAATTACACATATTTAGGATGAAGTTTAAATGCGCAACACAGTATTAGGTTACGTAACCACGGGCAGGGAAAATGATGAATGGAAAAAGGTGCATGAACAAAGCCAAGCAAGTAAATAAGGTAGATGAAAAGGCAAATTAAGGAATTGGGTTTAGTTTATAGCTTAGACACCAAAACTCTTGTCTGTGTTTCCAATCGAATATCTTGTCAGTAAACTTGTGCTTACTTGAATATTGAAAACCTCCAACAAAATTGAATCAATATCAGAGTTAAACCTAGGGCTCCGAAAAAGTACTGAACTGGTATCAAACTGGTATCGAAATGATACAGATCTATAGTAAATTTAATATATGGGTTGTAACCTACTCATATGTTTTTATAGTAAATTTAAGTATTGAACTGGTATCGAAGTGGTCTCGTTAGGAGCCCTAGTTAAATCCATGAAAAACTTTGACCAATCTGAACGTATTGTTGTGTGTAAAACAGGATTGGGTACGCAACACGGTGACACATTGCGTGACATAGTGTAATAGATGAGTTGTGGCATTTAGATGTAATAACGCGTAAAAGCATATACAGTAAATAGAGGTAGTATTAAATTATTTTAGAATAATAGTTCTGAGAACTGTAATTAAAAAAACCTGTATTTGCACGCCTAAATCATAAACAGATTTTTGTTTAAAGAAGTTTTTACTTATTTGTTCCACAAAATGAAGTCGACAAAATTGTAACGCGCCTTAGAGTTAGAAGCCTTGCCTTATTTTAGTGTTAGAATCCAAGTGTTTAGATTAATATCACGCGAAAAGCAATCTGAGTTAGTAATTGACTCGCCGGTGATGACAATGAAATTAATATTAATGCGAATACTGTATTAGTAAATGGTGTTGTGGGAAATACTGAAGATTAGGTATACGAACAAACCCAATTTAATCATTCTGTTCATTCCTTCATAATGATAAGAAATAATTATTTTTCTGTATATTATAAGAGGGTCGGTCAGAACGCAATTATAGTCACATGACTAACAATTCCAAGTGACAACCTTGCTTATCGAATACAATATATGTTGGGAAAAAGATTCTTACTTCAATATATATTTAATAAATTTATGGGTAACTCTTACATAATTTAGTATATTTTAAAATTATTCTGCATAAAAATCCAGTTAAAATCCGATAAAGTGAATAATTTGTTTGACTTGTAGACTTTATAAAAATTTTTTTAACTGAAAAATAAATTTCAAAAATATAAACTATCCTTTTTTTTTATTATTTTTACTTTAAATCCAATACTTCTGTTAATTAATATTTTGGTGGTCTTTAAGGGATTTTCTTTATCAACAAACTCAAGATCATATTTTCTGTAAAACATGATTATTGTAGCTTTTAATATAAGTTTAGCCAAATTTCTTCCCGGACCTTAATCGATTAAATATTTTAGTATAACTTTCTTTTATTATTTGCATAAAATGTTCTGAAAACTTACATTTTCTCACCCCAGACCCAAATATATAAAGTTGATTTTTATAATCTGGATGGGATTTGTCCATAAATCTATCAGGGTTGAATAATTCTGGATCTTTCCATTTAGATTTATTTTTATGAAATGCTTGGATATTTAAATAGAAATCAGTATTTTCTGGAAACTCATATCCATTAATTTGATCGGGTTTTTCATTTGTCTTGGCAAGAAATGGCAAAAAAGGCGATGTTCTTAAAGCTTTAATGGGCAATTATTTAATTATAATAATGAGACATATATTCAAAATTATTCATTTAGATATTGCCTGAATAATATTTACCTTCTTTTAGAACAGCATCGCAGTAATCTAGTTTATTTATACCTTCGTAAGTTATTTGCGAATCCGGATCTTCACCAAAGACGTCATTAAATTCTTTTACTAATTGTTTCTTCACCTTAGGATGTTTAGATATCATATGAAATATATGACCCATTACTTCTGAAGTCTAGTCACATAATTTAAATTTTAGCAACTTAAAATTAACTTGAGATGGCCATGCATGATTAGATTGCGTGTGCCGTGATTTAGCTAATAAAATAAGTAATAAACAATACCGAAAAAAATGAAGCCAAAGAAATTTCCATAAAAACTGGAGCAATCTCCTCATCAGACAATGGTCGGTCATTTATATCATCCGCAATGCCCTTTGTGATATCTCGAGTTGTATTGATAGTTAAAAACATTGTCAAAAGATCTCGAGTCAACGATATGTCTTCAGGTGTTCTTTCGATCTCTTCTCTTCGATTTTTAACAATATTGATAGCATTGGTTCTTAACCAGTTAACTTGTTCCTTTAATTTCTTTGTAAATAAGTGAATTCCGGGGAAATTTCTGAAAATTTTTGGGACACTACGATACCATAGTATAGAAGTTGCGTATCCACGAGTACATTTCGAAAGGTGTTCACTTTCTTTTAATATTCTATCAGAAACTTCTGTGTTGTCAGACGATATTTTTTTATAATAACAAGCCAATGCATTAGAAGATTTACTTGTGGTAACAATATCAACTGTATCTATAACGTAATTTTGCGCCCATTGAGTAAAATCCTGCACGGCATCTTCACCGAGAGTTCGCCAATAGTTTTCCATTTTTTGGAATGAATTTTGTGTACTAATTAATGCTTGTTTTAAGAAAGGCGGTGAAAAAATAGACTTTGAGTAAAATTTTCGAATGAATGCCCAACTTTCATAATCTATATTATATGCTAATCCCGTATTAACTATTCCAATTTCTCGAAGATCAGAATTTTTATTGATTCGATTATGAAAGTTACTACGAATAACAGGAATAAGAAATTTTTCTGCTAATTCTTCATTACATAACCAGACTTTACGCGAAGGGCCTGCATAAACCTCGAAAATATCACCGTATTTGGATTGTAACTCAGAAGGCCAGATAGAAACATCACGAAGAATAGTAAAAAGATTTCCAATAAGCGGTAGGGGAAGCGGACCTGGCAAAGGATTCTCTCGGGTAAAATATTTATAATAATAATATGAAGTATAAGATACTATAAGGAGAATGGCAATGTTTAGAATGTTTATACCCGTAAATAAAGTCATTTTTTTTAAAAATCGTATAATATGTTGAAATTTTGAAGAATAGTCGGAATATTTATACTATATACAGTATAATAGATAACCGTGTTAATATTTACGTCATACTAACTACAGTCATAATCACGATGTCCAAATATCAAATGGCTCGGCCTATTTTATTGGTTTCTGTCAATATGTGACACGATAAATTTCCTTTTTATATATAGGTCAACTTGGCACAGCACAATCTTCAACCTTGCATTACTTTCTGCCAGGGATTCATTATCTGGGAGGAATCTTATTGGAGAAATATAAATTAATGAGATTTTTTTTCATTTTAATTTCACATTATATATTTTCCTAAACAATTCATACAAGCGAAGTTTAGGTTGCTTTTCATATTGCAATAATAATATTATAAATAAATTTTAATTTTGCTTTCCTATATATCAAATTTTAAAATAGACATGTGCAACAAACATTAATGCGAGACCTTATTTAAACAAGGAGTTTACTTTACTATCATTATATCAGCAATCTTATATAGCGAAAATATAAATTAATTGTAGCATATCACAATTGATGTTAAAAATGTAACCATATATTAATAGTGCTAATCAACTAATGCTTATTCAATATACAAGATTATTGCTGAAATAAATATTTGTTTATTGATATAATTATTAAAATTTCTAATAAATTAAGATCTTAAAATAATAATTATTGTTTTTAATAAAAAAAAATTTCTCAGTTTTTTTATTTTCATGTATTTTTAAATACATGATTCTATTATTAAACATATTCATTAATTAAAAAAACCATTACTAATTATGAAAATTATAATTGTTTTTTTTAGTAGACAAATATTATTTCTTTATTTAATTTGTACTCAAATACTTATAAAAACAATTTGTATCTAGATGCTTGGCAGTTTCTAAAATACAAGATTACATATTTGATTGCTATAAAAACATTATAGTATTTTTTAAAATTGAAGCAAAACTTAAAAAGAAAAACAAAAATCTGTTAATTAAATCAAAAATCAAACAATATTACTGATATAGAAAAACAAATTAAAACAAAAATGAAATTTAAATAAAATAACATATGATCTAAAATATTTAAATATAAGCCTATTTATATTTAACCAAATCAAAATAGCAAACAAAACTCTTATACTTATATTTACTAGTATAGATTTTAGATCCATAATAACTAACTTCACTTTTATTAGAAATAAAATAAAAAAAAACATTCACTATTATCCAAAATAAAAAAAGACCAAACTCTTTTATAAATAATAATTCAAAACTAATTAATGCAATTATACAAGCCATGGATTCACAACAAATTTATACAAGCTTTGTTTTTAAATTAAATTATCTTATTTTAGTTGAAAAAAGCATTAACCACTGGTATTAAAACTAATCTTAAATATATATAGCATATAAAAAATAACAATAGTCAATATTATAAATAGATTAACATTAATTTACTAATTTAATATAAAGATATTTAATATAATTTAAGTATTTTATATATATTAATAAAGTTTTGTATCTAATTCTTTTTATAATAAAAAATAATAATAATAAAATTTAATTAAAACAAGTAAAAAATTTAATAATTTTGTTTAAATATAATTTTAAAAATAAATTTGTATTGTTAAAAAATAAATTAAAACCTTTGTTAATACATAAATATAAAAATCCATAACTACTCAATGGAATTAACAAAAATACTTTACCAGTTCGTTACTATTGAAATTTGACTTCATGATTGCAGATTTCAATTTTTAGACATTGGCTTTGTAAACTTGATGAATTTATGTGCAAATTACGTTGAAACATTCTATTGCTTATGAATAATGCTTCTTCATATAGGATCAATGATAATAACACATTTTTAAATATTATGATTCATTTCTTACCTTTTAATTGTATGGCATATCTCTAGCCATGTAATGCTGGAATTATTTACAGTTTTAAAAGTCAATATTAAAAATATTATTGTATTGATTGAATTTAAAAATATGATAATGCTATTGCTCAGAACCAATCCATTTCAAATATTTCTCAAATCAATATTTATAAAGCTATTAAATTTATTAAAATTGTATGGAATCAAGTAAATATCAAGACAATAACACATGCATGACAAAAAACAAGTATTATACCTAATAATATACTGTAATTGTTAAAAATAAAGAATATACTGTTTCATCAACAAATATGAAGTTAATTAAACTTATTAATCAATTTCCTATCAATCATGAAAAAGTTAGAATGAAAGTATCTAAGTTTGTTAATTTGGAAGATTTTATTTTTATACAAGATATGCCAATAACAGAATCTATTATTGCAACAATAGAAGAAAAAGACTTGTCAGAATCAAAAGACTTTTTAATAGTTAAATATATTTCTTGTAAATTAGCTCTTGAGCATGTTAATTTTTTACTTCTGTATATTACTCAAGATTGTAATAGCGAACTTCAAGTTGATACTACCTTCTTATTTAATTTAAAAAAGTTAAGAAGAATAATTGAAACTAAACAACAAAATACATTACAACAAACAAATATTCTTATATTTTATCATTAATAAAGTTTATATATAGCATTTTTATAATAATAAATTAAAAGTTTATATAAATTACAGTATATATAGATTTAATTTATTGTAAAATTTGATAAAACAAAAATTTTGATAAGCCAAATAAATTGTTTCTTCCTATAACCTTCAGTTTATCAAGTTTTACTTGTAATTATAATTAGTAATTTTTGGCAATATATATAATATAATAAAAAGATTAACACGAATATATTAGTCCAAGTTATAATAGAATTACTTACTGATATATCCTCTTCTACATCACAGTTAATTAAAAATGTGATGTGAGTTATGTATTTTATCAGGTACTGGAAGCTGATAATGTATTTATACTATATATAGTCATAATTATTTTTTTTCTTGGCAAAAGTGATCAGCGTGAAGAATTCTTCACATATATGCAATTTTATCAAACTATTAAACTAAGGATCCTAACGATTCTCTTCGATTCTATATTCGATTCTCAAGTTTATATTAAATTTAATAGGTGGAGTATACCCTACCATCATTTTTAATAGTATTCTGAATCTCATGCGATTCTGTTCGATTCTATTTGATTCCAATTTTCAGAACCATATATTAAACATATCTGTATCTTATATAAAACAATAAAAAATCCACAATCCATAATTGATTCATTGAGAGAATTAAATTCTGATCTTGTTTACCAGATTGTAGAACTTAGGAAGGAGAATGTTTATATAAAGACTGAAAATATGAAATTAAAACAAAATAGGAAAGAAATTGAGATCAGATTTGTAAAGTTAGAACAAATTATAAAAGAAAATACCAAGAATGCAAAGTTGAGAAATGATGAGCTCAATGACAGAATCGTGGAACTAGAACAGTTAGTGAAAAAAAGTGAAAATTGATTTATGAAATTGAAACAGAAGCAAACCCAGGTTATCACTAATGAACAGAAAGTATCCTCCATAAAAAATATTTCAACACCTATTGAAGATCAGTTTGATAAAGATAATGATATTACTCTTAATCACATATCTGAACATAACTTGACTCAGACCTAAAGGAATAAATCTAAATCTCTAACTGATTCTAAGTAATCTATCATTCTTTGCCACAAGATATTATTGATGCTAATTCAGCTGAGACTTTAGATTTTGTAAAAAGGAAATATAAAGAATGTATTAGTGAAGAGGTAATGGAGAAAATTAGGGAAAAGAAACTTCAGGATCAAAACTTATCTTTGGATAATGGTTCATCAAATCAATCTAATTTATTATACAATGTATTGCGAGAACAAAAAATAATTAATCAAAATCTCAGAATGTATTTTTTGGCTCGTTCTAAAATCCCATCTTACAAAGTAAGAATGATCTTGCGTTTAAATTAGATCAATCAAATATAAAGTCTCCTTGTCCTAAGTCCAAATTATCTACTGATCAAATACAAAATGACATTGTAGAAACTAGTATATTAGTGATAAAAATTCCCTATAATCAGAAAGTAGAACAAGGTTTATTACATGAGTTATTTGAATTTATTAAGGCACTGATTCCATGTCCTTACAAAATCTAAAGAAAACTCCATTGAATTCTATCTTCATTAAACAAATTTCAAACATTCCTGTTGATATAGATATAACTCCAGGTTCTGTATCTCATTTAGCTCATTTATTTGACAAGGCTGAGAAAACTGAACAAAAAGAAAAATTGCAGTGGTATTATTATAGTGAGAGATATAAAAAAAAAGTTTCAAATCTTAGTTCAGAAAAAAATATTAGCAATCAAATGGCAAGAATGCAAATCTATAATGAAATGATTTAATATCTACCTGGAATCAAGAAAGAGTATTTGCATAAAATGACTCAAAAGGTTAAAACTATCTATACATTATTTAACAGAATAAGAAAAGATAAAATTAAATATATTACATATAGTGTTGATGTTATTTCTAGTTTAACTGGTACTTGAATTCAAAATATTATAAATTTTTATACTAAAGAATTAGATGTGAAAATATTATCATTAAAAACTCTTCCCGTCAATCAATTTTTTGCTCAAAAATTTCCTTATTTGGTAACAAGCTCTCTCAAGAAACTCTTCAATCCAAAGCACTTCCAAGTGCTCTCACCCACTAACTAACTCCTACCATGG